TGGTCCAATTGGAGGAGCTGTTGGAAGTGAGGCATTCGGTTTTCATCGTGGGTATCGCGGGATCCGGCAAGACCCAGGTGTGGAAATCGTTGTTCCGAACGTATCAGAACATGAAGAGGAAGCCTGTGTACAACGATCTGAATCCGAAGGCCGTGACCAACGACGAATTGTTCGGGATAATCAATCCGGCGACCAGGGAGTGGAAGGACGGCCTGTTCTCGGTGATAATGAGAGAGCAGGCAAATCTGGGCGGTGAGAATCCAAAGTGGATCGTTCTGGACGGCGACATCGATCCTATGTGGATCGAGTCGCTGAACACCGTGATGGACGACAACAAAGTTTTGACTTTGGCAAGCAACGAGAGGATAGCTCTGACGCCCGCGATGAGGCTGCTCTTCGAGATATCCAATTTGAGGACGGCCACGCCGGCCACCGTGTCCAGGGCAGGCATCCTCTACATAAATCCCCAAGACCTGGGCTGGAATCCTTACGTGACCAGCTGGGTGGAGAGAAGAACGTCCCCCGTAGAGAGATCTAATTTGGTAATACTGTTCGACAAGTACATACCTCCCTGTTTGGAGACGTTGAGGAGCAGGTTTAAAAAGATTACCCCGATCGCGGATATGGCACACGTGGAGATGCTCTGCCACCTTCTTCACTGCCTTCTAAAACCGGAATTAACTTCCACTGACTTTTCGAAAGAGCACTACGAACTTTACTTCGTCTTTGCCGCCGTTTGGGCGTTCGGATCTTCCATGTTCCAAGATCAATTGATCGACTATCGGCTAGAATTTAGCAAATGGTGGGTGAACGAGTTCAAGCAGATTAAATTCCCCCCCCAGGGGACCGTGTTCGATTATTACGTCGATTCCGAGACGAAGAGCTTCGTTTCGTGGATGCAACGTTTGCCGAAGTTCGAGTTGGATCCAGAAATGCCGCTCCAAGCCGTCCTCGTCTACACGGCGGAGTCTATCAGAATCAGATACCTGTTGGACTTGCTGACGGCCGAAAAACATCCGGTGATGTTGGTCGGAACGGCCGGTTGCGGGAAAACCGTCCTCGTAGCCGAGAAACTCTCGCAATTGCCCGATAATTACTCGGTGTCCAATATTCCATTCAATTTCTACACCTCGTCGGAGATGTTGCAAAAGATATTGGAGAAATCGTTGGAGAAGAAGGCTGGCCGAAATTACGGCCCCCCCGGGAACAAGACTCTGGTCTACTTCATCGACGACATGAATATGCCCGAGGTAGACCCCTACGGGACCGTCCAACCGCACACTTTGATCCGCCAACATCTGGATTACGGCCACTGGTACGATAGAACGAAGCTCACTCTCAAGGATATTCACAATTGCCAATATATCGCTTGCATGAATCCCACGGCTGGATCGTTCACCATTAATCCCAGGCTGCAGAGACACTTCTCCGTGTTCGCGGTCAGTTTTCCAAATATCGAGTCTCTGACGATTATTTATTCGTCCATCTTGAGGCAACATTTGTCCAACATCGAACACAGGTGAGATTATTTATTTCCTGTATAATATAAAATCGACGCGAAAAGAAATTAAATATCCTTCGTGATCAACAATCGCACGATCAATTTCAATTAGATTTCCCATTTGCGTGACCGAATTGTGCAACAACATCGTGCAAGCATCGATCCAGCTGCATCATCGCTGCGCACAAATGTTTCTTCCGACGGCGGTCAAGTTCCACTACATCTTCAATCTTCGCGACTTATCGAACTGCTTCCAAGGATTATTGTTCAGCGGAAACGAGTGCCTCCAATCGTCCACGGACTTGATGAGACTCTGGTTCCACGAGACGCAAAGGGTCTACGGCGACAAATTGATAGACGAGAAAGATATAGAGAGCTTCTCCAAACTGCAACTGGACATCCTGAAGAAGAACGTGGAGGAGATAGACGAGAGCGCCGTTTTGGAGAAGCCCAACATCTACTGTCACTTCGCAGGCAAATATTTTCTTCGTAAAATGTCACATCGGGTTTGACGATTAATTATAATACTTTCGCGATTACGTTTCCTGAATAAATTGCCTCGAGTCGTAACAGCTATCGCTAAAAATGAATGGAGGAAACGATTTGAAGGTGGAGTCGGGGAGCCAAAGTACATGGCGGTGAAGGATTGGTCGACCCTGCACCGATTGTTATCGGAGGCGATGGTCAGTTACAACGATCTTGTGGCGGCGATGAAGCTGGTGCTGTTCGAGGACGCGATGATGCACGTGTGCCGGATAAACAGGATCCTGGAGTCGCCCAGGGGCAGCGCTCTCCTCGTCGGCGTAGGTGGTTCCGGCAAACAGAGTTTATCGCGATTGGCCGCGTTCATAAGCTCGCTGGAGGTGTTCCAAATCCAGTTGAAGAAGGGTTATGGGATCGCCGATATGAAGTCGGAGCTCGCCGCCCTGTACAACAAGTCGGGATTGAAGAATCTCGGCATCGTGTTCCTGATGACCGACGCCCAAGTGGCGAACGAACAGTTCCTCGTCCTGATCAACGACATGCTCGCTTCTGGCGAGGTTCCAGACCTCTTTGCCGAGGACGAGCTCGAGAATATAATAGCAGGTTGTTGGACAAATATATCTCTTTATATTTCACCCGCTTCCCCATCCAAGGATCGAGACTATCCTATCCTTCTTATTCCTCGAAAATCGATTCCTCGAAATGTTGGAAGGCGCGAAAGGCGATCGACGATCGTATCTCGAGGAATATCTCCGATTTCGATCGATAATTTATTCCCTTCCTCCCCCGCAAAGGAAAGGATCGCGTATTACGCGCAATTTTGCAGGGGTGCGCAACGAGGTGAAGGGCGCCGGTATTCTAGACACCCGCGAGAATTGTTGGAAGTT